GTTGAGGACCTAAGAGATACTTTACTCTATCTTGAAATAGCATTTATAAAAAGGAGATATGCCTGAAATAATTTGAAATAACAAAGTTTGATATATGTGAATATTTTTCTTTTATCTTCTTATCTATTTTCTTTTATTTTTTAATGCATTTACAAAAAAACGAGATATTCTTTTATAGTTGCCCCCGAACCACTGCCGTTAAGTGTATAGACATAAATTAAATTTTTTAAGTCCGCCATTAACTTACATCGATGTAAAATCATCCTTTATATATATATATATATGGGCGCCAAATACATCCGCATTTTCAATGATAATGCAGATGGTACAGAAGATATTTAACAAGTGTAAGTAGTCGCGAATCAGTGAATTCCATACATGAATGATATAGATGATCGATTCTTTTTACTCTCTCTCTTCTTTTGCTAGAAATATACTACTGGAATAATCAATCCTACCGAGCATAGAATAATGAGCAACAATGCTGGATTTAAACCTAGAATATTGATAAAAATAGCATATTATCTCCTTAACAAAACAATGTTTTTTTTAATTAACCGAAATAATTAAGTATAGAATAATTGTGGGATTTTAACTGAAGTAAGTTAATTGAGACAATTAATGCGGGATAGCAGAACCAAGATTCGAAATGTTAACCTAAAGCGTGTTTGGTACGAGTATTTTGGGAGAAAATTTGGAAAAGTGAGGTGAGGATTTTTTTTAATCATGTTTAGTATGAGAAATAGTAAAACTATCTCGGAATATTTTTTTCATTATTCCCGTTTTTCATTACGCATGGAAAAAAAAATCTCATCCTATCCATACTATTGTTTTTTTTTTTTCCACCAACCGGGAAACGTATTTTCACATTTTGAGACAAAAATGCCCTTATATAATATATGAGCTGATATGTAAAAATAGATAATTTTATTATTTCAGTTCAGATTCTCATAAATAATTTATAATAAATCAAACATAGCATCAGTAAAATTAACTCAATTTTCTTAGAAAATTTTTGGCCTACCAAACATCTTTTCGTAACTTACTTCTGAAAAAAAATTCTCACCATATACCCAAAAAAAATTTCTGGTAAAAAAAAATCTCTTCTACCAAACACCCTAATTGACGAAATATGCCGTAGTACAAGCACAGATACTCTAGCAGTTGAGGCCTTGGGGTAGCATCAAAAGATTATTAACCTTCTAATTTTATTTTATTTTTTTGGTAACAACTTTCTAAATTTTTTTATTTCATATTGCATGAACTATAAATACAAGCCAGCTTATAGCTCAACCAAAATTGACGAAAAAGATTAAGTAAAAACTTTACATATTATGTATAATAATAACCTATTGTTGTACCAAAAGATTTAAAAAAGTAAAAGCAGATCATGATCCTAGAGTTAGAGTCTGTTAGTTTATTTATATTTTTAGAAATACCTTTTTAGTTAAATATGTTCAAATTTTTAATGATAATTAAATAAGTTTTGAAGAAAAAAATTGTGCTTTTCTCATAAGGTTAAGAAAAGTAACTTAATTTTTTTTTGAAAATTATGTCGTAAAAGTACTACTTAATTTTTCTTTTCAAAATTCGGTCGCAAATAGATTTATCTCCTCTAAAGTGAAGAGTATACTTTAAGGGAAAAAATATAATTAATTTTATGTAAAGTTATCAAATTCGTCCCAGATGAGCTGGTCTGATCGAAAATCGGTTCCTTAATCGATGCGGTCATTAATTAGATTATTTATGGGAATGAGAAATTTTGCAACAATACTTATTTATATTAGGATCCGTTGGAGAATTGTGAATTTTTTTTTAAATGTCAAAATTCATCGGTGAATTCTAATATAAATATATTTGTTGTAAAATTTCTCATCTATAGCAATAGGAGAAGTGGCGAACCCATTATTTATACATTCTATCTAGTAGGAGATAACCATAATTCCATGAACCGGGTTTAACCTCTATTGAATTTTAAATTCGAACTGATTTTTGGTATTTCTATACAAAATATTGAAAAAATTACTATTAAAATTTAACTAAAAAATTTAAATATATAAAAAAGGAAAATTATATTTATAAACTTTTTGTTTACAAACTTAATTATGTACTAAGGGTAGTATATAAACCAACTCATATTATCCTTAGTGCATAGTTAAGTTTGGAAATAAAAAGTTTGTAAATATATTCTATCCCTTAATATAATTAGTTTATCAGTAACTTTTGCTCCATATATAGTCCATATTCATGAAAGATATTTCAATATTATTATTTTTTATTTTTAAAACTTAAGTTCTTTTCATCTAATAAATGAAATTACTATATTTTTTTCTTTTGGATAAATCACAAATGTTCTTCTTAGAAAGTAATCTTATTCGAATTGGGAATATTCACATCATTCTGGAGTTAGCTGTCTCAATTTTTTTTTGTGCATTCACAAAAATTTATACCCAAGATCTTGCTTAATTACTATATTTTAGTCTAACGTAAACGAACATTGAACATATTAAATAGTTATAAATAATTTTATGAGAGATGATTGTCCAATTTACTCCCGTTTTTTTTAAAAAAAATACTATTTTATCCTACTTCTCAAATTATATAGCAGTTTCTTTCTGTTTGATCATTCACTCGACAAATGACTTATCAAAGACTAAAATCTAGTCAAATTTCGATCAAAGAAGGACAGATTGTTATATACTTTGAGAGGATTAACAAATTAATATATAACTAAAAAAGAGAAATACAATAATAAGTTAAATTTTAAAATAGGAAGAAAATAGTTGTATCAGTACCCTATAACTTTAGGATTTTTCATATATTTTGGGGAATTTTTAGCATTACTTGCATGCATGACTTTTGAAAATAATATAATATTTATACATTTAGCATTGACTTTGAAACTTAATCTAAAATTTTTATTTTATCTTTACAAATTTGAAAATCGACGAGAAATAATTTTTTTTATTAGAATACTCATGCTAATCTATGAGAAGAGGAAAATATGAATTTTCAAAATAAAAATAAGAACAAAATAATTTAAGCAAATCTAGAGAGAGAAAGAGATGTAATGCATAATTTGTTGATGAGGTGCGTGACCAAGGTTACTTGATCACATAATTTCTTGAGATGCTTCAACATATGGGTCCGCAGAGCATCACATGAGAAGAAGAAAACAAAATATAGCCAAGAACAACTTGCCAGCAGAAAAGATAGAAACAAATTTTTAATTAGTTAAATAAATAAAGAATGCTCGTTATTATTGCCGGCAAATCATTCTTGGCTGCATTCTACTTTCTGCCTTTTCTTGTGAGTTGAGAGGACCTTAACGCCCAAGCACACCACCCATGCCTATTGCTTATTGCCTTGGAGTGTTGTGTTAATGAGGTGTGCTGCTTAATGCTTATATAGGCACAATAGGAGAAACAGTGAGGCCTCTTTTTTTTTTTTAGTAATTTCAGTGAGACCTCTTTATGTGCAGTGCACCACTCAAACTTATTCGACAGTCTGTCTCACCGACTTTCTATAAGAGGATAATAGTTCATGGACGACAGCCACATGTATATGGAAACTGCCACACAGATATGGAATTTTATCTTTTAATATATATTTGCCACATCATATTAAGGGACATTCACCTATTTGCCACACTTTTTAATACTATTAACTTGAATGCTACGCAACAGCAAAATTTTACTAAAGGATCATGTAAGTCCACTGGCCATTGTAATGTTTATTGTTCGGCCACATGACATGTTTATTGGAGCCACAAAAGTCGTCCAAGGGTACAATGACTTTTATGGTCAAAATAACAATTTTTTTTTTTTTTAAATAAATAACAACCTTTATTGTGCAGCTTTATTGAGATTGAAGAGAGCACCTAAGTTGCTGGATAGCGTAGAAATTATAGTCTGATCAGATCTGCATATCTGACACGTGTCACGTCCAGACCAAAAAATGATCAAAGTTGCCTCCATCCTCGCGACTTTAGTCTAATAAATACTCACCTCGACCCCTCACTCTTCATTTCACTTTAATCTCTCTAAAAATTCCCTCTCTACTTTTAGGTTTTCTCCTTTTTCTCACAAAGTTTTTATATTTTTTTATTCATACATTACAAGTATATGTTAGTATATGGTGATATTTTTATTTTATTTTATTTCTGCTAGTGTATGGAATAAATACTAGGATAGTTGATATTTTAATTTTATATTTAAAATTTACATTATAAATAGCATTTTAACATTGTAATTTAATGTATTTTATTTTAGGAATTGAAACTGTAAGATAAATAATATTTTATTTTTTTATTTTTTTAGTTAGTGTTAGGATAGGATAGATGACCTGTTTTATTTTTGCTATATGAACTAGAATACGTAAACAATAGGATAATTGATATTTTTTTATAAATAGAATTTTAACATTAGTCTTAATATTTTTGTTATATATATTTTATTTTAATTATATTTATTTTAGGACTTGAAACCATAAGATAGATGATATTTTATTCTTTGTTATTTATAAATTAATATTTATAAATAGTGTTATTAATTTATTTAAATTATTTTTTCAAATAGATTCATGGATTCCCTTACTGATTCACCGCCCTGTGAAGATAATGACCTCGCACCTCCCATCTTCTCAAGCTCTTCTCATTTTTAGATTACCTTAGGATCCTTTGATCGCTTTCTCCTGACATTACAAAAGAAACACATACGTGTGGAATTGCGCGGAGGATCGCAAACTTAATGTCAGGCACGCATACACACCTGATCATATAAATATACCTGAGCAAATCCATCCTTATTTGAGACAGGTTGGTTTCTATGACGTTGCGCAGCTGCGCAACCACAAAGTTAGTGTACACTTATTGGTTATTAATGTTTATAGGGTTTTGTTGTAATAATTCAATAACATCACTCGTTTTATTGTTTTAGATTGACCATTCACTTATTGTTGTGCTTGTCGATCGTTGGCGGCCTGAGACACAGACCTTTCACATGTCGCAGGGTGAGATGACGATCACCTTAGAGGATGTACACTATCTATTAGGTTTACCCACAAATGGTGAAGTTATCTTCGATCGTGCTGGACAGCATGGCTTGCGTCAGCTAGTTTTCCAAAATCTGGGACTTGTTCCATTGATAGAGCGAGATTTCAAAGGAGGTGGGTTGAACTTAGGTTTTTTGCGCCATAATTATGGTAGCTATGCGCAAGATGCTAGAACTGAGCCACAACGCATTATGTACACATGTGCATTGTTTATGCGCATCTTGGGTGGGATGTTGTTAGTTCACACTGCCTCCAGCTATGTGCCAGCTAGATTTTTGCTTTTTTTGGACGATTTTCAACGGACGAGCACCTTTAGTTGGGTTCTGCAGTACTCACGCACCTTTATTGTAGTTGTCTAGACTGACATACATATCACACTCTAATATGCGTGGGTGTGTATTGCTACTGCAGTTGTAGGCGTGGACTCAATTGTGTAGGATTTCCCCTCCTATCCTAGCTGTGGTTGACCCGCAGGCCATATACGAACATAGGTATGATATACTGATTACATTTATAATTTTTGTTCGCTATAATTATTACTCATACTCAAATGTTCATTTTGCATATTTAATGTTATTGATTGCCGACAACATCGAGCATCGAACCTTGTCAGATATCGCTATCACCTTTATGTGATACGTAAAATAGAGTGTTTAGAGGCCATATGTGGGTTTTTCTTCACATTAGCCGACCACGGCTCAATTCCATAGATGGATGGTTGTCTGTAAGCTTATTTATTATCATATTATGGTGTTCGAGCAGCCAGACATGGTGCTTAGATAGTTTGGCTTCCAGCAGTCTATCTTCCTCACAGGCCTCATGGCCATGACTCGAAAAGTATTCCACGTGTCGGGCATATGTGAGCAGCACCAAAGACGTAATGGGAATATTTCTTGCGCCCATATAAGGACCTTGTTAACACACTCCAACAACTTAGTAGTCATGTGATCAAACCTTTTGTCCTCTACACCAAATGTGCTACTCCATTTCTTTTTCGATATGCAATTTATATGCCGCTATTTGAGGACCAGCTTCTTTAAATTTTTCTAATCCAGCATAAAAATCCAATCGCGAAGTTGTATAACCTGCATACAATAACAAACTTATAAGCTGATGACATATTTCATATAGGATGTCAAACAAGAGATGAAGAAGTCTAAAAGTATACATAGCTTTTTCAGTTGCTTCTTCAACATAATATCCCTGAATATGTCGTTGAAATTACTGGCAAGATGTCGAATACATAAACATTGTATGCTTTGGGTGGTTGTTAGCCTACCGCCGCATTATTGACTACAAACATTAAGGCCACATGCCGATTAGAAATAAGGTAGATGCCTTATTTTTATGTTACATGCATGCATATCGATGCTCAAAATCACGACTAGTCATCAAGATTCTCCCCAAAAACAATCGCAAAAGAAATTGATAACACATAATTGTTGTCATCCACAGTTGTAGCAATTAACCCTTATATTTTTCATATAAGTGGATACCATCTATCTGGATGACGACTTGCAATAATTGAAGGCATCAACACTGTTTGAAAGTCCAAAAACACCTTCCGAGATCGATCCATCCGATTATTAACAAAATGATCCTTCAAATCCTGCTTATAGATAGATCTTTGTGAAAATAGCAGCATGTAATCCAACCATCTTGGCAGAAACGGGTATGACTCATCATAATCCCCATAAATTTTGACAATTGCCTTTTGCTTTGATTTTCATGTCTTCATGTATGATTTGTGAAACCCATGATTTGTTTCTATCCTTTCTTGGATTAGAGCAATTTTAACATTCGGCTCTTTTCTTATCATTTATGTATGTCGTCAAACATTTATGTATTAAACACTTTCAAATATATTAACAAAAATTTCGAATATTTGACATACCTAGGATCATTGAACAAATGAAATTAGAGTCTAGCTGCTTGTGATCTTAAGAAAGAGTTTGTTTATCACAATTATATTCGTTAACCCATTTGTCGATAACCTATTCAGTGTCGCCCTTTATAACATGTGCCCTCATCCTCCACGGACAATCGTCCTTGTGATTTTCATATACCATGATTGATATTTTGGTATCACTTTTTGTTGCAACAACTATGTGATACTCCGCCATACAAAATTACTTTAAACTCATTTGCACATCGTTCTTGTTCTCAAACACTTGGTCCTTATATAACTTTTGACCCATCTGCCAGTTAGGAATTTGCGCTCCCTCTATTCCAGGAAACTACTGATCTGGGTGTGCCGAATTAATATGCATATAATAACATGTTTCAAACCAAAATAGATCACTCTTATCACCTGTATAAGCACACATGCATAGCAATGAATCAATATGTGTAGTCAACAATCATATTCAACACGTGTAGCAATTTAGAGTGACTAAACTACCAGTGGCGTGTCATGCTATAAACAATGTCTGGTGAAGGAATCAGATGACACACTGCAGTAGACGGACAACAATCGAAATCGCCCTCAATGTCAGTGTCAGATGAGTTACTGTCTGGAACAAGACCTTTATCCACCTCTTCGTCAGAGTTGTCCGTACGCTACATTGGATCATAATCATCTTGTGGTGGGAGGCATTTCAAATGACATTGGTAGGGGTGAGGGAGGTAGGAGTGACACATACCTATCTTCAGGATTCACCAACGGCTCCCTGTTAAGGTCGATGGAGTGAATGGAAGGGAGAGAATCTTGACTGTTAGACTATCCACCAGAGTCTACTTCCACATATAGTTCAATAAATATGGAGTCTCAATCATTTTGAAATGCATCTACTACTAACGTGACATCTTCATCCTCAACAATATCCATAGAAGCTTAGCTTTCTTTACCCGAGGCGCATCTAGTACTCAACCGAGACAAAGATTGACCCTGTTGTAATATCAACTTCTTGTATATTGTCTTCTTCATATCATTATAACTACACCGAGGGGTCACACAAAACATTTTACTATACAATGGCAATTATTGAATTATTCCCATCACTCATTTTGAAAAAATTCAAACAAAAAATACAGGACAAGAAATAACAGGTGACAAGAAAGAAATTTTTTGTATGCAGCATTTAGAGACTATAACATGAGAAAATTAAAAAAAGTTGTATGTTGGGACGGGTTTATATTGAACCAAAGTTGTTGGACATTGTAGAGACTATAGTGACACGTGGCAGACACGTCAATAATCACTGTCATATGCAACATGTACTTTTCTGACATGTTGCACTATAGTCGCCACATTGTCCAACAACTTTAGTCTTTTCTCTGCCACGTGTCAGAAAAGCTGCACAAAATATCTACCATGGTGACCACAAAATTCGTTGCACTATTGGGCCAATAAACATGCCACGTGACGAAGCAATAAACGCTACAGCAGCGACTTCGGTGACGTGATACTTAAATTAACAATAAGGATTATCAAATATTTACTGTACTTTAGGAGCAAAAGAATGTAGGCAGTCAAATACCCAATAAGATTTTTCAATCACTCACTGCTATTTCAAAAGTATGATTATATATTTTGTCAAATACGCAATACCACTTCATCACTACTGCTTCAGGAGCATGATATATATGTTGTCAAATAGCCAATACCACTTCATCACTGCTACTTCAGGAGTATAAACAAAAATTACAAAAAAAGGAGAATTGGCAGAAGAAGAATTATAAATTGATAAAGGAACACACAAATGAATACCTACCAAATACCTATTTTGTAGACAAAAATAACTTATGTGAAATTTTTTTAACCATAGATGGTAGAGGCATTCGTGGCAAATGATTTTTTTTCCTAAAGAGGTTTTTGAAATTTTTTGCATGAGTTAATTTTTAGAAGGCCATGATTTTGAACATTATGTCATTGCAGAATTTTGTAGAGAGCTATTTGATAACGTGTTATGAAATGATGGGGGAGATATGAGGAAAAGACGTGTTACAAGACAAAGTGAGAGAAAGAACATAGAAGACAAAAAGAGAAAGAAAAGAGAAATAAGGTAGAATTCTGATTATCATTCATCAATCATTTTTTCAATACAAGCAATATGTATTTATAGGATTACAACCATTAATAGGAGGTTAATATTTCATTAGTGTGGTGGTTACAAAATCATAAATGAGGATAATTACATCATTAGTGTCAATGATAAGTGTCCAAGACACTATATTTTTATTGTTAAATATAGTTCAAATTGTTATCAAAAAAAAAAAAAAAAATAGTTCAAATAATAATTAATATAATTAAAAAGGATAGTGTTAATTAATAAAATATTAAAAGTTAGTAAAATGCCAACAAATAGATAAGATCCTAATCTTTTTTTATTGTTTCATACTAGGAATAACAAATTACTAACCTGATAAGGATGAAAAGGCAGTTGGCACGACTGAATATCAAGGAAAAATAAGAAAATAAATAATTATAAGATATTCGGTCACGCTTCAGCGAGCAAGTGAGCGAGGAGAAGAAATTGTCTCGCTGAGAAGCTTGCTTCAGCGAGAAGTAGAGCTGGCAAAATGGGCCGAGCCCGCCCCGCCCGCCAAACGGGGCGGGGCGGGCTGAGTTTTTTAAACCCGCTGCCCGCCAAGCCAAGCCCGCCCGAGCTGATTTTTTTTTTTTTTAATTTTTAGTGTAAAATGTGACGGGCTTGGCGGGCAGCCCGCCCCGCCCACCCAAACGGGGCGGGGCGGGCATAGATATCTAGCCCACCTTCAATGGCGGGGCGGGGCGGGCCAGCCCGCTTTTTGGCGGGCTTTTGGCGGGCAGGGGCGGGCAGTCCGCTTTGCCACCTCTAGCGAGAAGGTCCAGAATTAAAGGCCAACTTTTAAGCCTTTAAAAACAACGCGAGTGAAACTGTAAAGGCACTTCTGGAGATGCGAATTCAAGAAAGGAGGCAGAGGAGAGGAGGAATGGTCAAAGCTTCACTGTGGAGACCGAGTTTTATTTTCATTTATGAATTTTAGTTTCTTTTCATCTATTGTTCTTGTTTTCCTGACTATGTCAAGCTAATTTTCTTTAAGTAGTTGGGGCGAGACGAAACCAATGGGTTCTTAAATGTTATTTGCTTCTCTTATGATTTATATTCTTGATTTAAGTTATGCTATTAATCTATTTAAAATTTCTAGTCTTGTTTATGATCTAGCCAATATTGAATGAGCATTAGAGTCGTGCATGACAATATGGATGTTTGTGTATCGATTCCGATTGATTGATTGCTGAAATTTGTATGATCTAGGGATAGACTTATGAATTCTATAACCGTAAGTTCTTTGCTTAATGCTTATTTTATGAAAAAGTACTAAGGGATTAGGCTTTGGAGTGAAATAAATGATTAGATTACTAAGGGATTGAGAT